TACAATTCTGTATATACTTATCTAATGCAAATATTATTCAAGTACATATATATTTCTAATAGTTATACGACTATCATGGTTTTTTTTAACCCAATGTATTTTGTATAAACATCCACATTTCATTATACTTGTCTGTACAAAGTCTACGTTTCAATCCGCTCACAAGTAGCAAGTGCTATCAGGTCTTCAATCCATTGAATAAATGGGGCCATACATTCATCTTTCCAATGCTGCAATATGAGTCTTTTGGCCATAGTAAGGGCACCGAGAATCCATTTATGTTGTCCGGTTATCAAGTTCCATGTACTAGGTATATAGTTCAAAAGAATATTATCCTCTGAAAATTTTAGTTTTTGTTGCACAATAATATTTATATAGTCTACTACTTTCTCCCAAAACTAAGTATAGGACATTGTAAAAACATATGCTTTAAAGAGGCATTGTCCTTATTACATATCCAACAAAATGCCATTTTTGACAATCTTTTTCTATACAGATGTAATGGACTCCAATAAATTTTAAATATTATTTTTTTGTTGTGTAAGTCATAGTTTAAGGTCCATTGACACTCTTGCTATAGAAGATAAGACACTCTCCCATTGTCTAGGCAATATAGAAACTTCTAATTCTTTATTCCACTCATCCCTTCACATCTGCATATCAAATTGATTTATTGATAATAAATATCTATACAAACTAATTGTAGGTTTTTTAGTTTTAAAGGATTTAACAAGTTGTTCTAGTATCTCAGGTGCCTCAGAAGCTGAAAATGCTGCTGGTCCAAACAATGTTATTAACAAATGTCATAACTGTAAATATTGCCATTGAGTTACATCTGATAGATGATATTTATCTCTTAACACAGAATACATTAAAAATTCATCTTCATCAATTATCAGTTGGTCCAAAGTCAATATCCCCACTTCCATCCATCTTTTTCCAAGTTTTTAAACTTGGATTTCCCCATAAAGTCAATTTGGCATGGGAAAAAGGGTCACATCTTTTTTTATTAGACATTATGTTCCATAGTTTTCTGACAAAATTGTTTCCAGAGATATTGGAGTTTTAATATCTTTCAATCCTAATACTGTCCATCTGACCAAAGGTGTTATATATATATATTCCAAAGTTGCCCAAATCGGAAAATTAACAATTTCAGAATTGTTTACCTTATTAGCTAGGGTGCATATGTAAAATAAAATGTTGAATACATGCTAGCCTTTATATTTTAATCCCAGTATGTTGAGCTAATTATTTTATAGAGTTGAATACAGTTTACCAGGGCTTGATAACTCTCACAGATTTCCCAGATAAAGCTGGACAATTTTAGATGTTAAACAAGATTCCTTAAATCATATGACACAAACACTTCTTTGTATAAAAAAAAATTTGAAAAGTGAACTTGTTTTTGAGTTGAACTTAACTCTTGGTGACTACATGGACATTATTTTGCTAAATTTTGAGGAGGTGAATTCTAGCCTTGCTGTTTTCTCTGTTAGAAGTATATGTAAAGGGATCCTATTTAATTAAATACTGTACATGTAGTCTCATTTTTCCACTATAAATAGGAAGGCTGACAATTAGAAAACAAGATATAATGCAAAATTATAGTTAAAGCATAAGAACAAATCAGTTAAGGCCACATTTAATCCATTAATTGAAATCTTCTTCAGGACTGGTTTAAAAGCCCAGAGTCTTCCTGAATTAAAAATGTCTTTCTCTTAAGTTTATATTTTAGCTTTCATTCAATCTTTTAAAAAAATGATTTAACTATAAGTTAAGAAATTGATTTAAACTCTTGGATTTTTTTAAACAGGCAAAGAAAGGGACATTCATCCAATTTCAACCATTTTTTTAAAAGAATCCTATACATTTCCATAGAGAGCCATTTGGTGTAGTGGTTAAGGCACCAGGCCAGAAACGGGGAGACTGTGAGTTCTAGTTCCACCTTAAGCATAAAAGCTGGCCAGGTGACTTTGGGCCAGTCACTCTCTCTCAGCCTTAGGAAGCAGGCAAGGGCAAACCACTTCCGAAATCTTGCCAAGAAAACTGCAGGACTTCTCCAGGCACTCACCAGGAGTCAAGACTGACTTGAAAGCACCAAAAAAAAAAAAAATCTAGGCCATTTTTTTTCCTTTTTATTGCTTTTTAAATTTTTTTAAATAAAACTGTAATCACATTTATATTTTAATGGCCTCTCAGATACAGTGAGGTTAAAAATAATGAGAAATGACACCATCCAGCAAAGTGATGACTGTCATGAATATGCAGCTCCAGTTGTTCAAGCATATGTTCTGTCTCTTTCCCTTTCCAGGCTACCACTATCTGATCTGTGACCATATGAGAGCTGTGCATTTCTACATCAGTGCCTTGAATGATTCCTGCCCCATGATGGCTTTCCCTTGTCCCAGTTATAAGAATTTCTTAGCCGGTCATTGTTTAGATTGCTTCGATCCTTTCTTGCTCTCCTGTCCTACAGTCGGTAAGTTCCTTCTGCAGTGACCTCAGAATCTAAACTTTGGGAACTTAGGATGTGAGTGGAGTCAGGATATGGTAGGAGTTCAATCTTCCTTGAGAAATGTGTTTCCTGTGAGATGACAAATGAAATCCAGGTCTCTGCTGGGGACATAACATTCTATTGAAAGTTCTGTCAAAGTTTGAACTTGCACACCCCAAATCTGAACAAATCTAAAATATAAGTTGTTGAAATTTATGACTCCACCTCCCCATCAGACTTTGCTGTTTACTTTCCAAGTATCTGGACAGTGAACCAGAGTGCAGCAGTAATAAAGCAATTTTGTTCCCATTCCCTCATTTATTTAAAAAAAAAAATAAAGAACAGACAAAGAAAGAATGGGATATCCACACTTAACTGATTTTTGTGTGGAAGAACTCAGCCCAAACCTAATATTCAAAACAGTTTTTCTGCAGTAGCAAATTTTGGAACCAAATTCTTGCTATGGCAACAGGAAGAGCTGCTGAGACAACAGTGAATTGTCCCAGCTCTCTTCTCTATGCCCTGCCTTTTGCAGCTGGCCTGTGTTTAGTGGCATGCAAGTTACAAGGTAAGTCTGCAGAAAACCATGGAAATGAGACAAGGATCATGTGGATGACAATTGAAATAGGGTAGCCAGGATGCCCATTGTGACTTAAAAAGGAGTATGTCTCCTAAGGTCTTTCCCTACTTCCACTGAACTCCAATACAAATATGCTGTAGCAACATCTTTTTCTGCCATCTTCCCATGACATTGCCTTCACCTCAGAGGTGTCTACTGGATAAAGTATGATCAAAAATTCAACAGAGCACCCACAATGTGTGATTGGAGCTCCAACCATTTTTTTATGTGCAACAAACCTAAAAATCAGGCGGAGCTTCGATTAAATAATTGTGGCCACCATCTTGACTTTTTTTTACTATACTCTGTGGACATCCCTGCTTCATCTCATCCCTACCCCATAAGAAGACAGGTTTAAGTTCATGTGCAGTTCCAGTGTTAAAACAGCGTTCCCGTGCTATTCTGACAGCTTCAAGGTGCTTATAAACAGTGAGGCTTTATAGGTA